GGGCTGTTCTGCTCCCTCTGCCACTTCCTCTCCACTGCCTGCACCCTCCGCGGGCCAGTGCCGACTGACTCCATTTCCCTGAGGCTGCCTGAGCATTGTTTGAGCTCTGCCGGCATTCTGTTAGTCTCTGTTGGTGGACAGTCCCACCGAGTCTGCTTCCTGAGCAGACAGGACCGCCTGCTGTTTTCTTCTCCTCTCTTATCGCCCCTGTCATTAAAGGAGAGGTCTGACTTCCACCTCAGTTTGTGTGGAGGGACAGCAGTAAGGGAACAGGGGGAAATGTTCATTACCGCTGTTAACACCACAGCATTTCTTACTGCCCGGACATTCGCTCCCTCTTTGGGAAGGATTAAACCAAAGGATAAATTCGTGAGCATGTAAGGCTTCAAGCTACACCCAGGAAGAGATATCGTATATTGCGAATTTTCTGGGGGAGCTCTCAGAATTCATTTTTTGTTATTTCCCAGTCTTATTCTCAACTATCTGGAATCTTGACTAGGATACTCTGTGCGACTTGAGAGCTTTTTCCTGAGGCTTTTTGTTGTTGTTTAGCAGCTCTGTCTTTCTGAAAAAGAAACATTACCCCCAGAGTGCAGCTTTCCTATTCACACTACACTGGCAGAAAGTTGGATCAAGAACCAAATTCACTGGCATTCTTTTATTCCCTTGGAACCTAAGCTATTCCTCAATTTTGCTTTTCTAAGAAAAGTAGAAGGGGGAAAAAAGAAAGAATATTAAGTGCCACTCACAGCTCTGTATCTTAAATTCCTGAAGACATTTCGCCAAGGCTTTCATCAGTCTCGGCTTTCCTTATTAACATCCCTGTCCATACATCTTCTCCTATTTATAGCACTCAAGAGTCAATTTCTTCCAAGAGGTACATTAGCAATTTAACAATAGTCTGCCAAAAGATCTCATACTCTTAAAATATTTCTCCACCTGAACACGTTCTTTGCAAGTCTCATAAGCAGACCTGTTGAGGAAATGTGGTGTCCGACATCTAGTTTGAACTAAATATTAAAGTTTTCCCAAAGCAAACTCAGTGAAAAGGGGAGAAAATGAAATGAGACTGTGAACTTCAAAAAATCATCCTGTGTGACACAATCTGTTTAATAGCATTCCCCACAATGGTTTTAGAGAAAGTGGTATGGAGGTGGGAGTGTCAAAGGGAATTAATGTGTTAAAGAATGATCAAAATAACATCCGGGGAAGGAATGAAAACTAACCAGTGTGATTTTAAAGCTGCGTTGTTATCTAGATGGAAGAGATCTGAGGAAAGGGACCTGTAGTTAGGGTAGAAGATAATGGCACACTGTGGTCTCTCCTTTTCTGGAGTTTGTGTTAACTACTGTGGGCTCAGAAACGGGCTTAATGACTTCTCCAGCATTTGGTCTGGCTTTTTATCAGTTCACTTTAACAAGAGCATAAGCCAGGAAAGCCTAAAAAATGGTTGCAGCCAAACGTGCCCTCCTCCATGCTGCTGTTTGCAACTCCGTGAAAGTACGTGTGGATGGCACCGCTAAAGGACAGCTCCTGAAGGTCAAATGAATGCACACGGTCCGTGAGTCAGAAATATGAAGGGCCCTGTGGACCCAGACATTGCTCCTGCTGTTTTGCTGCTGTAAAATGCTCAGTGAAACCTAATTGAATTTGACAATTATAAATTACATATTGAAACCGTATAGTTCACCTAAGGAATAGCAATGAAAACAGTGAAGACACCAGAAGCCAGAGTTCAGGAAATGTCATATTCACATAGAAATACTTTAAATTTTTCTCAAAGCTTTATTTTCTCTTTTTTCAAGAAAAGCTCCAGACCACCCAGTGCACGAAGTCCTTTTTGGAAGCTGTACGTAAAATCATCACTTTAATTCGGCTTTTGTCATACTAAGGCTGTAAGCACATGTATAATGAAGGAACTGAACTGTCAGAAGAGAAGAAAAGAGCACAGCAGATAAGCTCACTCTTCTCTCTTGTCCTTAGGAGCTGATTATACCCTAGCGGAGGAGATTTGTGGAAGTTCAAAAATCTTTAAGAGGGAGGTAAAGATTAAAGGAACGTGTATCAGGGCCCACACTCCCCTCTCACTCCTCACAGTTCTGTATCTGAGCATGGCAGTTCGGACCCGTTGTATGAACACAGTATCCACCACCTGATTTCTTCTCAGCCCACAGGAAGCCTTATTTAAAGAAGGGAATCCACATCCTTGCTCTCCTTCTAGAGCTACGCGCGCTCTCCCACACAGGCGCTCCCCGTGCCACCCTTTAGGTGTGTCCTGTGCCTGGAACCATGCAGAATGAACCACTGACTGTATCTTTTCTATAAATGACACAATGGGAAGAAATAAGAAATTCCCTCAGGAACAGTTAAGTGTAAAACAAGCTGGGATGCTCATCATCTTTCCTTAAAAGTTGATTGGAGCATAAGCTTACTGCCCAGTCCAGATGTCAGTCTAGGAGCAGCTGGCATGGAGAGCCGATGTTTTGTTCTAAGGGGACCTCATCCTCTTTCTTCCCAAGGTCTCTTGGTCTAATTAAATTTCAGGGAGACAGAGCCTTGGCAGAAGGTTAAAGGAAGCAGCTAGACTGCAGTATTGGAGCTAGGCTCAAAACTAAATTGAGAAGTTTAACTGGGTTCGTCTCTGGTTTCAATGAAATACTTTTACAGTGTATGGTAGCAATGTCTGTTTCTAAGCCTTTGAAAACCATTTTTCTTTTTCCTTAATGGTAGTTCCCTGGTTGTTTTTATATTATGAGCTCCTTGTAGAAAACTACAGGAAACATAATTACAATACAAAGCTCCATTTCCCAAGCCTACCAAGATTATTTGAAGCCAAACCGGGTTTTAGGGTTTTGCTAACTGTAAGTTCACTGCCATGAATTGCATCCTATGCCGTGCTGGTTGATTTGCAGCCAGTGTGATGTGATTAAACAATAACCGTGTTTCTCCACACTGTCTAGCTGCCATAGGATTGAGAGGGGAGGGATGGACTGTGTGACTCCACACTGCACAGCTTCCTCTGGGGAAAAAGAAAGAGTATCTTTGTGTGACGCTTATAGCAAAATAGAAGCCTGTAGAAATATATACAAGTTTATTTAGGGAGGGGAAAGAAAAATAAATTACTTTGTTTTTCTGCTTATATTGCTGTTTCCTTGTAGCGCTATGTTAAATTGCTAATTACTAATTTTTGTATTCTACTTTTCCTGAAGAATCTGTATATGGACTTTTAGGGCCAGCAGAAATAACTTGTTTTAGTATTATTAACACTCTGGGGAGGAAACTGGTACTTTAGTGTATTGCGAAGTGCAAAGCGTTTGAAAAAGTTGTGATGGATGATGAGAACGAGAGGGAGAGTCGCCGTGTACTCTGCTGCAGCCCTATTTCAAGCCCGCGGTGCAGACGTTCAGTAGGATCCGGACAGCCTCTACTCTAGAAGGCTTAGCAGAGAAGGTGAGCTCCAAACCCAGGGCAAAGCAGTCCCGCCCCTGCCCTCCCGACCTTTCCCGTCATGAATCTAGAACAAATTCCCCCGCCTGCCAACTTTCAGGAAAGTCTGAAGAAAATAAGCAGGAAAGGCTTTCAGTGGCAGCTTGACTGTGTGTTACTTTCACAGGATGAAACTCCTTTCAGGCTGTTCTTTAATTTGTATGTAGCTGAAATAGAATAATCGAGTATTTCTCTCCTTCGAAGATCAGCTATTTTCGTGCTGCCTTCGCATTCTTTTTATTTCGAGGAATCACATCTTATGTGTTATTTGATGAGTACATTTGTGTATGGAAAAGCTAAATATTTATCTCACTTCTAACAATTATGTATCTCAAAGTCTTTTTTCTTTCTTCCCTCCTTTCCTTCCCCTCTTTCTCCTTTCCTCCTCTCCTTTCTTCCTTCTTTCCTATTTTGTAATTCATCTTGAACTCATCTCAATCTTCAGGTAAATCAGTCTTCACAGAGCTGTAACAAAGACATTGGTGAGCAGGGGCTGAGAGCAGGATTAATTTCTTCTCCACTGGTTTTGTTTTCGCCAGCCTTCCTTCCAAGGACGCCTCTTAAGTAGATGGAAGTGAAATGCCCTCGTTTCCTCGAGTGGAGCAGTTGGGGAAAGCGGGAGAAGGAACGCACTCCCAGAGGGGACACTGGCGGGCAGTGCGGGGTCCTGCAAAGCTGCTGGCTGCAGCTCCGTGCTGGATCGTGGAAGGACAAGTGGGTCGAGATCAGCATTTTCTTAGGAACAGAATCGAACCGAGTAGAATAGGGGTAGAATAGAATAGACCGTCTATAGAGTTCCTGGACGCTAATGCTAAGTATTGCTTCGTGAAACTCCAGTTTCGTTTTATGAACGCGTGTGTGTGCGGGAGGCGATGTGAACTGACTTTACTGTGGGTACGAAAAGCCCAAAGCCACCGCCCAGGAAGATACGTCCATGGCGCCTTAGAAAGAGGGTCGCACGCTCCCACCGAAACAGAGGGGTCCACGAGTCCTGGGACCTCGCGCCCCACACCCCAAGTCCCTTCCCCGCGGGGCTGCTGGCTGTGGGTAGGATGGGCGCTTGGCGCGGGCAGCCCTGCAGCGGGAGCTGAGCGCGCTGGGCACGGGCAACTGGGAGGGGCGCCTGGTGATTTACTCACTTCCCTCCTAGCCGGAGAAGTGCAGTAATTCGAAACAGTTCTCACAGTAGTGTCCCTGACAACTTAATGTAAAAAAAGAAAAAAAGAAAAAAAAGCATTAGGAGTCCAAGGGACTCGTTGGGGAGAAGAGGGGTGGAGGTGGCTGGGGCGAGCTGGGGATGGATCGCTGTCACCGTCCTCACGGGCCCGCACAGCACCTTCTTAACCGCGACCCAGTGATTTACGGCGCCAAGAGCCGCAACTGAGCGCGCGCAGCAGGGACCGACAGCAGGGAACCCCGGAGCCTTAGGGAGCGGAACGGTGGGGATTCCCGGGGCTCGGGACCTGCTGGCCCCCCGACCCACACCTGCTTCGTCTCCCCCTCTTCTTCCCTAGGACTTTCTGCAGGGCGACTGCACCAAAGCGAAACAGAAGCTGAACTGGAAGCCCCGGGTCGCTTTCGATGTGAGTGTCTCTCAGGGCGCACGCCGTCCGCTGCGGGCCCCGGGCTGCAGGGTGGCAGCTCTCAGGGTCGGGCGCCTGCGATGCCCACAGCCCGGAGGGCGGGGTGCGGGAGAAGTGAGGGGAGCTGGAATGAGGGACGCGGAGGCCTCTCTGGGGCGGACACCCGGGGTGGGGTGTCACCAGGAGAGAGTGGCAGAGGCTCCTCCCTCACGCCCACCCCTGTGTTGCAGGAGCTGGTGAGGGAGATGGTGCACGCCGACGTGGAGCTCATGAGGACGAACCCCAATGCCTGAGCATGGCCGCGGAGCCCGCCCGACCCGCCCTCCGGCTGCGATCCCAGCAGAGGCACCGTGGGGATGGGGAGGGGCGTGCCAGTCTGCGGGTCCCTGTGGCCCCTGCTGCCACCGCGCTGTCCCGGCCGCAGGAGCCGGCCGCCCCGCCGAGTTTTGTAGCAGCCGGGATGTGACCCTCCGGGGTTTGGGCCGCTTCGCTTTTGTCGAAGCCTCCTCTGAATGGCTTTGTGAAATCAAGATGTTTTAATCATACTCACTTTACTTGAAATTATGTTGTCAGACAACAAATTGTGGGGCCTTCAAATTGTTTTTCTCTTTTCATATTAAAAATGGTCTTTCTGTGAACTAACATTTACAGGGTCGGTGTGGATGTTTTCTCCAAGTTATGAACACGGCTATAAGGGTCCCCAAACAAAAACCCCACAATCCAGGCCTTTGAATGAGATCGCTGTGGTCAGGCCTTGCCCTGTTTTGAGAAAGCCCTTGGTGGGAGGACTCCTGCAAGGCTAAGGGGGCGGGGGTGCTCTGGGGAGCCTCCTCCTGAGTCTTCGCCTGGGACATTTCTTTCCCCTCCTGGTGACAAGTCACTCTGGAAACCTAGTTCCTGTGGAAGGGAGGAACTCACACCCTGGCTGGTCTTTGCTGACTATAATTAGAACCCAAGGGCTCTCACCACCTGAAAAGAAGTCTTGAGAAATAGAGGGGGGTCAGAAGAAGAAACTTGAAGGTAAGCAAATACTGTTGGAACATTCCATGGCAAAGCCCCCGGGTTACCTAGAGGTCTCTGAGCCTGTGCCTTTCCTTGTGGTCTAGAATCTTCCACACAGTGCTTATTTCCACCCTCTTCTTATTAATACTAGGTCACTTTTAAATCTAAGCGTAATGTATTCATTCAGCCATTTATGGTAAGTGCCTAATACGTGCCAGACGCTGTGCTTATGCACTTGAACATCAGCGTGAATCTGAAGTTATAATAAAAAGGTTTAAGGCTCAGATCTGGTTTCGTTGAGTGCATCATTTAGGTGGCCTGGGTGAGACCACAGGTGTGTGCTCCTGAGCTGTGTATGGTGTACAGCTACAGGTAGGCTGACGCACACATGTGCAGGACACCCACAGGCAGCAAGCAGGGATTCGTGTACAGGTGTATACCTCTGCATGAAATTAACAGTATTTTGCCCTAGAACAAATTAGGTCAGGACACTTCTCCCCCTCACTCCCCTTCCAAGCAAAATAAAATAAAACTTTACAGCAAATGGAATTCCAGCCTTTGCACATGTGTGTGTGAGTGCGGGTAAACTATTTCTGAACGTCTTCACGGCAGGTTTATGATCTGGGGGAGGACCGAGTCTCCAACGGCTGGCGCAGGAGAGAGGGCTCTTTGTGTGGCTGCCCAGTCGCTGCGAAAGCATGCTGGCCGGGCGGCCTCGCCCTCGACGGAGCAGAACTGGGGGGCCTGAGCTAGCCCACCCGCTCCTCAGAAGCTGCCCCAGGACTCGCCTTCTCTGCACTCCCAGGCGGGAGGCTGCTAATTGGAAACACATGGTTGCTGGGAGGCCGGGCCTCCGAGCCTGGGCGGGATGGTGGGCACACACACAGATACACGGTGTCACACATCGGCTGGAACACAAACATCCATGCACATCCATTCACAAGTGCACATACACTCCACAAACGTGCCATCTCAGTCACACATTCTCACAAACACTTGCAAACCCAACTCCCAGACCCACTGTCACACACATCCTCCCACAAATCTCACAGAGTCATGTTCCCTTTAGCCTTGACCCTGATGGGCAGGCACCCCCTCTCCTCTGACCACCGGAACCTCCCTTCCCACACCCAGGAGAGACCATTCCAGGGGCCCTCAGGCTTGCCGTGGCCCTGTTTAATTCAATGTTGCTTGTTTGGACACTTAGAAGAGATTCTAGGCAGGGGTTTATAAAACTCCAATTGAGCCACGATGTTGAATTCTACTTCTCCAAATAGATGGCAGCATCCCTGTTTGAAGGAAACTAAAGTATTGTTGGTTGCAACCTTCTCACTGCTCCTGCACCCTGAGTAATGGAAGGAGTGGGAGTTCATTTGGCTTCCTGGTGTATGTGTTTAAAAGGAAAAAAGGAGAATAGATTTACTTCGACATTTTTTTTATCTATTTCTGTGCTATGAGAGAATTTCATTTGGGCATCCTTCAAGACAATTCTTATTACAGGGTTTCTTCTATCTTAAATCTCAATTAAATTTCAGTGAACTTACTGTTTCTTGCTCTGCCAAATTTTGGCTATTCTATTCGTTTCAAATATTATAAAACATCTTCCACCTTGAGTTTTTTGAAGGAAAAACTGAGAAAGTTAAACCTTCAGTACACTCACATACCATGGCAAAGCAGTTTTGCCCGAGTTTGTGCAGGAGGTGCGTGGAACCCGGGCCTCGCAGCGGCCGTCTGACCCGCAGGCCAGGCCCTGTCGCGGGCTCTCTCCGCTGCCCTTTGTCTTTAAGGAATTACGAGCGAGCTAGGCCCAGCGTCATAAACCTGTCGCACCTCTGCAGCTGTTTAGGGGCGCAGGCTCAGCCGGGCAGGCTGCGCGACCTTAAGGGAGTGCTAAAGTGCTTGGGCCGCTGGTGCAGCGCGCAAGATGGCTCCTTAGGAAGGCGGGGTCCGCTTGGCCTGGGGCGCTGGCGAGGGGCGGGTCGGCGCTGGCAAACCCTACAGGCATGGCTTTGGGTTCTTTTTCGCCCCTTTTAGTCGCCTTCGCCTGCACCAACACCAACACCAGGAACCTCGTAGAACCTCTGGCAGCCCGTTGGAGGGTTCCTGGCAGATGTAAGGAGTGTTATTATAACACTAATGTGTTATTAGAGCTTGGAGCAGGCAACACTTTAAACAGTGACTTGAAAACAACCTGAAATGTATTGTTTACAAGTAACTTTTTAACACCCCCCCCCCAAGTCTCAAAGCACCCTATGCACTTTATTTGTATTTGGGAATGCCTACGGGGTGGATTCTGTTTTAAGGTGCAGCCCACACACGTCCAGGTATTTTCTACAACTTGCAGCTTTGATTGGTACTCGGGTGGCATGGAGGGGTGGGGGCAACGCCCATCTAGGTTTTACAAAGTGAGTGTCCTTGTGTGTGCGTGGACGTGCCTTACAAAGAGGTCTTCACGTCCGTACGTGCCACCCGCACCCTCCAGAAGTTGTGGATTGTCATCACGGGTCGCCAACTTTTAACAAGCAGCAGTGGCAATGGGGGGCAACACGGTGCTAGGAACTGGCCCGCCGTCCACAGTGTCCCTGAAAACACTCAGGGTCCAGGCCTGATCTCCAGGAGTTGGAGGAGGCGCCCCCGCCCCGTGCCGAGCGGGCCCAAGGCCCGAGGCCTCCCCGCTCACACCCCCGGTGCCCGGAGCAAGTCTTCGAGGGGCCGTCGGGGTTGTTACTCGCGACTGGACCTCGGGCCGTGTTGCTATCCTCGGCCCCCGAGCCCGCCCAGGGGTCTGCACGGCCCGGGTCTGAGCTGCGGGCTTCTCCTGTGGGGCGCTGGGAGTGAGCTCTATCCCCAGAGCCCATTTCAACGTCCCAGGTGTGACTACGGCAGGGCAGGCCCCCCACCCTCACCCCTTCCTCGGCTAGAGCGTCTCTGCTGGGAGCCGACGACCGCGGCCTGACCCCAGGCCCCACCGCCCACTCCCGGCTCCCGCCCTTCCTCCACGGTCAGGGGTCACACACAGCGGACGCCCAGTTCTCGGCTGCCCCTTTGATCTCCGAATTTGGGAGCCAGTGTGTCCGCTTGAGCGTGCACTGCCACGGGCACTGGCACCCTTTGCTGCTGCGGGGAGGAGCCCCGACGGCAGGTGGGAAGACCTGGCTTGCCTGCGTCCCCCGCCCCCCAGCTCCCGCGACCCGGGGCGAGGCTCTGAGCCCCTGGGCTTCCCCGCTCCGGTTTTGAGGGAGGGGCCGGGCCTTCGGGCCCGCAGACCCGCCACCGCGCGTGCGCATGCGCCGGCCGCGAGCCCCTGGGTGCAGGACTAGGCGGCTCCGGCCCGCGCACTTGTCCAGGCGCCGCGGCTTAGCGCGCCCCAACCTCCAGCTCCGGTGGAGAGCTGGGGCGGGACGGAAGCACCGTGTTCATCAAAGTGTCCCCTCGCCGTCAGCAGCCCTGGCCTCGCAAATGCTCCAGTGCGCTCCGGCGCACGCAGGGACTGGCGCTGCAGCCTCCGGGCCAACGGCACGCGAGCAAAGCTGGTCGGCAGACTGGGACACGCAATGGAAGTTGGGGCTGCACCGAAGGGCCCGGGCAGGCCTAGGAGGAAGCTGCACAGCCCGAGGCCCGGGCGGGAGTGGCGGGCCGCGGACAAGGGAATGTATATTTGGAAGGGGTCAGGACCTCGGCTGGAGTCTGGCTTTTTATGGCGAGGAAGCCGACTGGGAAGGGCCTTCTGGCGAGGCTTTCCTGTTGTGCCACTTTTCTCCGGCAGCGCCGGGCGCGGGGAACGCGGGGCTGCACCGGGGCTGGGGAGGGGGCTTTACCGGCGGCTCCGAGGACTCCACTGTGGGGTCGGGCCCGGCGGGTAGGCCCGCCCAGGAGCCAGCTGGCAATTGCAGCGGACGGTCACGTTAAGCCACTGTCACCAAACACTTACTATAAATCACTGTCCTGCGCCTCCCGGAGAATCCGTCGAACCTGAGAGGGGGGAGGGGGATGGAGGTGGGCGCGCAGGAAGCCCCACAGACACCAGGACATCAGCCCCTCGAGTTCTCTCTGGGAATTTCTAGCACCCGGACGGTCCCTGACTGTGGGAACCACGGTGGGCCGTCTTCCTCCTAAGCTCTCCCTGGGACACCGGGCGCGCCCCCTCGCCCCTGGGTTAGCGCACACCCCTCCAGGCGATGACCAGCACAGCCACTGCGAGGCCCGGCCTTGGCTGCGTGTGTCCTTTGCGAGTGATGATAATAAAAATCATTGGAATCGCAAGGAAGCCCTGGCCCCGGCTCCGCAGCCGCTGCTGTCCTGAATGTCCCGGCTGCGGAAAGACCCCGCGGCCGGCCCGATCCACGAGTGAACACCCGGCTGCACACCGAGCCGGGCCTACCGGACTGGCGCGGGGCTCCGGGGACAGGCTTGGCAGGGCCCTCCTGCGCACCGTCTGGGACGCCGATTTTGCCAACTTGGAGGACAATTTTTGTTTTCACTCTACCAACAACAGATTTTTAAAAATCCAATGGCCGCTGAAACATGCTTCTCCCCCACCCCCGCCCCCCGTCCGGTTTGTACGTCTGTAGCCATTAACGAGCCCCGGCACAGCCTCCGGGACCAATGACCTGCTTTTATACTGAAGGAAATGCGGAGGCCT